TCGTTGAACAAATAAACAGTAGCAAAACAAGCCCTGTGGAGGGGAGTCCAGAAAGAAACTCGTACATCTGTGGTCAATTGATTTTTAACACATATTCTAGGAATTTGTCTTTGTGTCATTTCACTAAATGGTACTGAGACAACTGGACACTCATATCCAAAAGAATTTGGACTCTTATCTCATACCATATATGTTAACTCAAAATAGAACACAGACCTAAATGTAAGAGTTAAAAATATGAAATTCTTAGAAGAAAACGCAGGTATAAGTCTTTGTGAGCTTGAGTTATGCAGTAGATTTTTAAATACAACACCTAAAATACAAAACAAAGAGAAAAATAAATAAACTTCAAAGTGGAAAATGTTCTTGCTATAAAGGATATTATCAAGAAAATGAAAAGACAACTACAGAATGAGAAAAAAATTATAAATCATGTATGTAATAAGGATCTTATCTGCATATCTCAATTCTTACAACTCAATAAAAAGACAAATAACCTAGTTTAAAAATAGACAAAAGATCTGAATAGACAATTCTCCAAATAAGATATAAAAATGGCCAATAAGTACATGAAAAGATAGTTAATATCACTGTTCACTAATGACATGCAAGTAAAACCTGTTTTAAGGTATCACTTCACACCCACGAGGATGTCTGTGATCAAGACCAACAAGTGTTGGTGGGGAGACAGAAATCGGGACCCTTGTAAATTGCTGGTTGGAATTTAAAATATGCAGGAAAAAAAGGAATAAATTTCAACACTACAGACTCTTAAGTTTTCTTGTGGATTGAGAAGAATTCTGTTATGTCCCAAATTAACTAGAATTTTTTTTTCTTTGAGACAGAGTCTCACTATGTCACCCTTGGTAGAGTGCCATGGTGTCACAGCTCACAGCAACCTCAAACTCTTGGGCTTAAGTGATTCTCTTGCCTCAGCCTCCCACGTAGCTGGCACTACAGGTGCCTGCCACAACACCTGGCTATTTTTTGGTTGGAGTTGTTGTTGTTTAGCAGGCCCAGGCCGGGCTCGAACCCACCAGCCTCAGTGTATGTGGCTGGCACCCAACCTACTGAGCTATAGGCACCACCTAACTAGAGTTTTTTTATCTGTGGAAATGAGAAGGACCCTAGTGTGGGTAGCACTTGAGAGAAAGGCTTCATGATAGGTGGGACATTTCCCATTCACTGATAACCTCACTGTATATTTTCATACTAGGAGCTTTCACATTAGTACCCAATAGTAGTAGGCCTGTTTAGGGAAGTGCTAAATGCCCCACCATAGAATCTACAGACCAAGGAAGGGAAAAGGCCAGCCTGTGAGCATTATGTGGAGTGGCATTATCCAGTAAGGAGGAATCCTTCTGCCAAGGAGATCATGGTCTTATTGTGAAGGAAGATGACAGCTTTTCTTGAATGGGTTTTCTGACTGCAGCCTTCAAACCAAACATCTATTTCCCCCATTGTGAATGGACTCTGGAGGGCCCTCCTGTAGGCCTTCCTACTAACATACCCAGTATCAACCGTTCAGGGATCTCAGCCCAGAGTCACATGGAAGATGGTAGCCTCTCGGGGGTTACCAGGAGAGTCATAGGACCAGTGCAGCCTACCCACTTTGAAATCACTCCCTGCTCTCACCACTCCCCATTCACAATGCACCAAAACCTCCGCAAGGAGGATTCCCACCCCTGTCCCATGATTTTCCTGTCTTCAGTATTACTCTCCCTTTTGACCATTCACTTACCCTCCAGTGCCATTACTCTTGGGCCTTTACACAGGAAACTAGGTGCTGATGAGCAGATATGCTTGTGAATTACATTGGGAAAGGAGATGGAAATAGGTCATGCTTTACCTTGTCTATAAAAGTTGCAAGTAAGGAAATGACCAGCTGTCTATGATTTTAAAGCATGGAACAGGCCTGTGATTTTTCACTGGGAACATTTAGGCTGTCACAATAATTAGAGTATCCTACTCGCATCTAGTCAGAGTGTGAGGATGACAGATATCCTATAGGGCCAGTCCCGCACAATGGAAAATCATCTTCTGTCTTTCTAATGTCCTGCTGAGCTTTCTCCAGGACATACATGTCATCTGAAAGAATGTCCTACTTCTTTTCTTTTTATCCATCAGGAGTCTATAATTTCTCTTGGTCTATTGTTCATATTTCCATTATGGCCATTTCTCACTTAGTCTTATTCTGTATCTATAAATCTGGTTTGTTAATTCTTTTTTTTTTTTTTTAAGAGACAGTTTCACTTTGCTGCCCTCGGTAGAGTGCTGTGGTGGCTCACAGCAACCTCCAGCTCTTGGACTTAGGCAATTTTCTTGCCTCAGCCTCCTGAGTAGCTGGGAGTACAGGCACCCACCCACCACAACACCCAGCTATCTTTTTGTGGCAGTTTGACTGGGGCTGGATTCAAACCTGACACCCTCAGTATATTGGGCTGGCTCCCTACTCACTGAGCCACAGGCGCTGCCCTGGTTTGTTAATTCTTACGCTAATACTGGTTTTATACTTAACTCCATACATACCTCTACTCTTTCATTTTTCTGTTCATCTTGTTCAAAATAGACTCTGTCTCTGAAAGGTGTACTCAATGTTACATTCAGCCCACAATTTTGATGCACAACTTGACAAATTTTTGCAGTGTGTTTGTCAATTCTTGTTACTGGCTCTGACCTCCCTTTCTCAGCAACATTTTCTCTTCCCTCAGAAAAACATTTAATCCACTGATACGTGGCCATTTTCGTCACCACATCATCCACATACATTTGGACTAATATGTCTTGATCTTGCTTCCACTCTTGTCAAATTTAATAAATGTATGAATGTATATTCGTTGCTGTAAGTTACAGCATTCTTATGATGGCACACAAAAGCATGCAACAGCAGTAAGGAATGCCACTAAGACACCACTACATATCGATATGAACACAACTGTGCGACACTGATATGCCATAAGAAACCTTACCGAGTTGTTTGTTCAGTGCTGCCAATGTAAGAATGTAAGTGGCGAGTTCTCAAACTAAATTGTCTTACTTCATAGGTAAGTATTAATTAGTATTGGGTGAGATATTTCTGGATGCCCTCTCTTCCTAGCATACAAATCCCGCCTTAACCCCCAAATCCTATGGAGTGTGCAGTTACCAATAGATCTTGCAGCAACCACATGGTGAGTACCTGCCAGGTCATTAGAGTTGGAGCTGAGACTTACAAAGTTAATGTTACATATTTTGTGATTCAAACTGATAATTTTCTGTTGAATATAACGGAAGACCCAAACTTTTCTCTAACTTGTGTTGTTCACCTGCCATGTAGGTCTCATTTACAAGGAAATTATAAACTCAGTTTCCTAAGAGTTAATTAGGAATATAATACTGCTTACTCCTTACTCAGGAGATTTTCTTTCTTTCTTTTTTTTTTTAAGAGACAGAGTCTCATTTTGTCACCCTCGGTAGAGTACCATGGCAGCGTCACACAGCTCACAGCAACCTCCAACTCCTGGGCTTAGGCGATTCTCTTGCCTTAGCCTCCCGAGTACTGGGACTACAGGTGCCCGCCACAACATCCAGCTGAGATTTCTTTTTAGTTCCTCATCAGTTACTCTGATCAGAGGATTTTAACTTCTCAGAAAATGACTCTGAATAATAGTCATCAGTACTTAAGGATAAGTCCTGCAAGAAAACCACTATTACTGTAAATGAATGTGTTATAAATCATTTGATAACTTTCTCCATTCTCCTCATCATACAAATAGCACTGAGGAACCTTTTAACCAGGTGATAGTTCCATGACTATCTTGTAGTAAAGGGCTGTAAATAGGCAGTGGGCAAAGTGGACTTTTTAATAAAACATCTGTGCATTGCTGTAGAAACTCGTGTGAGACTATCCAACCTGAAATGATTTAACTATTAAACATGTAAGGGAGAAAAAATGCACTAGCCATAACACCTCCAACCCCAGCATGCATGATGAGACTACAAAGATACCTTTTCTCTAACTTGTATACTGGTTCATAGGTGTGCAATTTGGAGGGGAATGAGACTTGCAGGTTTACTATATAACATCACTTACCTAGAGTAGTCTGTTTTTTACATTGCTCCCTTTGTTGTTTATTGTAAACTTGGTGGATCCCTTTGCATTACTTAGTTAAGAATCAGTCCCAGGCAGTGATTAGGAACAATAAAGAAAATGTAATGCAACTGGCTTAAACTGAAGCTCAAAGCCTAGAGTAGTTTGAAAACTAAGGATACGCTGCTGGTGATAATTGGGGGATAAAAAGCAACAGTGGATGGTTGAGGGAAAGCCTAAGTTACTTCTCAGTAACCGATTCTGTATGGTCTAAGAGGAACTTCTTCATTTAAATAGACTCAGCTTTGCCTTCCACAGCTCATATGTACTTTTTACAGTTTAAAGTGAATGCACTGCGTGTGTTCTCTGATTGGTCTATGTGTACTTCAAGTGACTATTTCCTTTTTAATGCATTATTTAGCTACTGAAAGTCTGAGTATTTTTACATTTTTAAAACTGTCAGATCTGTAGAAAATCTGAGCAATGAGCTGATGTAAAAGCACAATAGAAAGTGATGAGTTATGAAATAAAAAGTATCACTCCTGAGCCCTGATTGGACTCTAGCTCTTCTTTTGCTACCCATAACACAGTATTCCCCTTTTTTGCCTACGAGTTTATTTCCATCTTTTATTCTGCAGTGATTTTGAGGGTCAGCACTATGTCTTATGTATATTCCCCACATGGCAGAGGGCCTGACATAGGGTTAACTCAGTAGATGTGTGTTCTACGTGGGGCATACCATTGCTGCATCAAATGTGAATGTGAGGAAGCTGTATATGCTTGAATTTTTTTAAAAAGTTGAATCTACTTTTGTCTTCACTGACTTAAAGAGATATGAACTTTATCATCAAAATACTATAGTAATCATTGGTCATGTTCTTGACATTTTACTCAAATATATGGTTAAAAATGCTGTTTTCTTTTGCTTTAGAATTGAACAATGCCACAAAAACATTCTTTACTAAAGAATATTTGAAAATAAAACAAAGCTTTCATAAATCCAGCTGTGCAAAATGGCCTCTACCAAGCTGCAGAAAAGCGTTCCATCTTTTTGGAGGTAAGGAAACTAGTAATTTTAACATCTAGTAACTTTGTCTAAAATCTTTACTTAAAGGTAATTTCATATTTCTGTATTGATCAATTTTAACTAGTAATTTTGCTAAATTCTCTTCATAGAAAGCTATAGATATGAAGAAAATGAAGACTATAAAATAAATGCAAATGTGAGATAAACCCATGACTAAGTTGACTCTAATTGCCATTAATAATGTTTAATATATAGATACAGATAATTAAAATGTATCTCCAAAGTATCAGATTTGACCAAAGCTGTATGTGACAGTAGCACTAGTACTCTGATTCTTAATTTATTATCATCAGCTGGGCATGGTGGATCACCTGTAATCCTAACACTCTAGGGGACGGAAGTGGAGGATTGCTTGAGCTCAGGAGTTCAAGACCAGACTGAGCAAGAGTGAGACCTCATCTCTACTAAAAATAGAAAAATTAGCCAGGCATGTGGCACACACCTGTAGTACCACCTATTCATGAAGTTGAGGCAGGAGAATTGGTTGGGCCTAGAATTTGAGGGTTCCATGAACTATGATGATGCCATTATACTCTATTCAGGGAACAAGCAAGACTCAGTCTCAAAAATAATAATAACAATAAAAATAATTCATTATTATAAGCTAAATTTACTTAGTAGCATATTTACTCACTGAAGTAACCAAAGAAAAATGAAGGAACATATAATTATAAAGTGAATAGAGTTTCTGAATAGAGTTTCTACCTCTCAGGAATTCCACTCAAAAACCCATAATCCCAGTATAATCATGGAGAAAACATCAGACAAATCCCAGGTGAGGGACATTCAAAACAAAGAAAGCCTCTTGTCACAACCAAGAGTAGCCTAAGGAGACAAGATCTAACTAAATCTAAGGTAACATCCTGGATAAGATACTGGAACAGAAAAAAGACACTAGGTAAAAACTAAAGGAATCCTAATGAATACGGACTTTAATAATAATGTATTACTATTGGTTCATTAATTATGGCATGTACTGCACTAATATAAGATTATTATAATCAGGGAAATTTAGTGTGGAGTATACAGGAACTCTGTACTACCTTTGTAACTTCTCTGTAAATCTGTTCTAAAATAAAACATTTATTAAAAAACAAAAACAACTGCCAGGCACTGTGGCTCATGCCTCTAATCTCAGCAAAAAGGGACAATTCAACTGGAACATATAAAACCATAAATATGCATACAACTTAAAACAATTTAAAAATACAATATAGAAAGCAAATTTGATTTAACAGAGTTAAAAAGAGAAAATAGATAAAAATCTATAATCACAGTTGAAGAGTTCAACACATCTCTCTCAGGAACTGGTAGAAAAAAAGAAATAAACATGTACAGTAAGGATCTAGAAGATCCTTCCTCAGGGAATAGTAGAGGCTGATCTTAAGTTTGGGCTCATGTTTTTAATAGCTTGGGTCTTTGTGTTCAAAGTCAGTACTTCGGAGTGGCACTGCCTACTCTTTCCCCATCTACTTCTTGTACTTCCTATACTGAAGCACACTGGGTACCCTGGCACTTCCACTCTCTAAATTTAAGAAGGGGCTTTTTTAGCCAGTCCAGTGTCCTCATTCTAGTCTGGCTGTTCTAGCTTGAATGATATGTGTCCAAATCTGCCATACTCTGCTGAGTTCTGCTCCTTCATCCATGCAGCTGAGTAGCCTGAATAAATGAACTGAGAGTTCCGTCTGTAGACTCAGTTCTACCTCTTACTCTTTGTATAGAGCCCAAGATGTAGACGAGAAAAGGGAAGCAAGGAAACCCCTGCATTTTCAAACTGGTTTCCTCGTAAGCATTCATTGTGGGGATCACTGACGATTGCCTGTACTAATGAAAGCAATGCTTTGTTTCTCATTTGGTTAGTGAACTACTCTCCAGAATCTAGATAATAGATTTGTAAGATATGGCTTATAGCCTTAGCTTATATCCTTCTAAGTGGCTTCTAGCCCACCTCATCATAGAGCATCATCAACCTGAGTTTATCTACATCTTAGATTCTTCAAAATTGGAAAGCAATGAGAGCACTGAAGTCAAGGATGCTACTTCCTAAGTGGGGAAGTATCTCTGACATAGTTGTCTGAAGAGTTCTGCAGCACATAGCAGCAATGTCCATATATGGCGCTCCACATCTTGTCCTTTTTTCTGATAAACAGCTCATACTTACAGTTTTGGCTTCTTGATCCTGTGGAAAGCCTCTCCATTGGAAAAGATAACCATCCATAGGGATATTTCTTGGCCTTTGTGTATAACTTTATCAAAAAGTACTGCAGAAACCCAAACACTTATATAAGGTAAAAATGAGATGTTCTTTAAATACATTTAAAATGTATTAATTAAAGATACTAAAGATATTGAAGATATGCTATCTGTAGTCAAAGCAGTTTGTTAGTGAAATTTTTCCACATGTTCATTTATAAATGATTTGAAAACTAGGATTTCTCTTTAAAGATTGGGCCACTTCTAACTAACAACACTCATAACACCTGTTATGACAGACACAAAAAGAAGCACTATAAATAATTTTTTTTCCTTTATGTAATTTAAGGATTGGTTAATTATCTAGCATTACTGACCAGAAGTCCACAATCTTTCATTAGCTGCTATGCATAATATATATACACACACACATATACATCATATATCTTATAATTCATTTTAGAATCCCCCAAATGCTGAAGTTATGGAAGGAAATTTTGTTCTGATTTTTTTTATATGAAGTATGATTATATTTGCACAGTTAAAATATTTTTCAAAATGACATAAAATCACCACTTCTAGGAAATTAGTTTGTAATCATTGATTCCTTAAGGAAAGTAAAATAAACTTCTCAGATTCATTTCAATCAATCAAATGAGCTGTTAGCTTGATAATACCAATAAAGAAGTAAAGAACTTCCAGGAGAGATAACTGTCAATATTCATAATCTTAATCCAAAATTTCAGGAATTGGGTTTCCCAAAGCAGAGCAACTATAAAATAAGAGCATTATTATGATTATGAAAAAGAACTTTTCGTGTAATCTTGGAAAGTTCCTCAACTTGCTTTGGCAGATGAGAAAGGAAAAAAAACTTTTTTTACATGAGAAAAAAGAAGATCTAAGACTTTGTGTTGTTTTTTGGAAGCAAAACAGTTCTAGGTATTAGGTTCTATTCCTTTGCACTTATGACCTTAAATGAATCCCAGTGCCAATAACCCAGACCAATTAATTCAGACACTTGAGAGATGGGTTCCAAACATCAGTATTATTTAAAGGTTCCTGGGTGATTCTAATGTGCAGCCAAAGTATAAAGAATAAGATACACTGCTCTAGGAGCTGATAGGGCTTGAAAATATAAGGCAGAACAGAATTATGGATCAGAATGCAAAGGAAACTTGAAAGAACCTCTTTTTATTCTCTGAGTTTTAAGCAATAACATATCTGAATTATTATAAAGAATGAATTAATCGGAAGAAAAGCAATGCTATAAGTAAAATGAACAATGTTTATCTGACAGTGAAATGAAGTTAACTCTGGCATAGTATAGTGATAGTTTAATAGTGCATGATAATTTTTTGTTTGTTCTAGATAGCAAATACAAATTTAATTGAAAATATAGTGCAAATTTTAGAAATCTTCAAGTAATCACACAAATTAGAGTTTAGCCAATATGTCGAGAACAGCAGTACTTCGGGGAGAATGCCATGGGATTTGGGAGATCACACAGTGTTTCTAGCATTTCAATATTGTGTCCAAGGCATTAAGTTTGTCTGTCTTTCATCTGTAAAAAATTACCTTTTAAAAAATAAGTAAAAAAGAAGTGGGTTAAAATAGATATCAAAGTGTCCTGGCAAAGGAAAAATCGTTCCAAAATGAAAAGTAACAAGTATCTGGAAAAAAGGATCCAGGCAGTCCCAGTTTCTTCCTTTGCGGACATGAGGAATGTGTAATCTAATGATGTGCTTGAAAGTTTCAGACCTTTTTTACCAGCTGGTGGAGCTATTACCATAATTTACCATACCATAGCTAGCTGTATCTTTCATTTTTGCAGCGCATATGAAGTAGAGGCTTATTGTGTACAACACAAGATACATATTCATAAATTTCAACAGCCCTTAGAGTATTCATTAAGATTGATAGGATAATATGGAAATGTTTCCGTATCTGTAGATTTATAATTGATGTTGAAAACTTACAAAAAACTGAACACTTTAAAACTTACTCTTTACCCTCATTAGTATTAGGCTTGTGCCACAATTAATCAAAGCAGCTTAAGAATTTATTCACTCAAAAATAAAGTGTTATAGAAAAGCTTCATAACTATGATGGGAATGTACTGTTTTTATTAGCAAATGTTACTCTGCATACATATTTTAATTTTACTAAGATTATATTGTAAGAATTCAGGTTTTGTTGAAAAATAATAGATAACTAGTATTTTATGAAGAAGACCAATATTTTGGTAATACAACAGAGTGCTACTGCATTATATTATCACTTAAAATCTATATCCATCTGTATTTCTCATGTGCTTAAGCTATTTTATAGATAGATTGGATATAATGCCATGTTAGATGTAATTTACAGATTTGTATATCTGAAATATAAACTGACTATATTTAGTTTCTGTCCCATTCAATTTTTCTTTAGTACTATATTTTGTCCTTTTTTCCTAAAATAGCAAAGAGAGAGAACAATGATACACAGTAAAAGGACTGCTTTTTCTTTCATTACTTTTTTCTGGTCTGAGAAAATGAAAGGCCATAGCATAATTTCTCAAAACATTCCAAAGGGAATACAGAAGACTTGAAATTTTGATCACTAAGAAATATGCATTAGACCTTCATGTTATTTTATTCTACATTCCTTAGGTATGTCTTAAGAATTCACACATAATGAAAAGGTAAATTAATAGTTTGCTTTTAAAAGAGATTATATAAATAACTGGTGGCCATATATAATGTAAGGTTTTTCAGACTGAATTTGATAATATAATT